TGTTGATTTTTGAAAAAAAAATTATTGGATTCCAGATGTCTGTAAATATACGAAGCGATAATGTCTTTAGCATTTTACAACAAATGCATGTAAGCGAAATAGGACGGTAATTTTCACATGAGGTTTCATTTCCACTTTTGAATATTGGTATTACTTTTTCTAACTTCCAGTCAGAGGGTATTATGCTAGTTTCTAGAGACTGCCATAATATATAGAGTAGAATTTTGATTGAGACCATTACTGTATTTTTAGCACCTTAGAATTGATTCCATCTACATCGGACGACGAAGATAACTTGAGATTGTTTATGGCTATAACTATGCCGTCTTGCTCAATGTCTATTGATTCTATGAATTGGTAGTCAAGCTCGGCTACGTAGGGTATCTTTGTACTATTCTCTTTCGTGAAGACAGAAGTGAAAAAGGAATTAAGTGCTGTTGGGCATTGGCTAGCTGAAAGAGGGACGTTGTTGAAATCGTGTAATGAGATGTCCTGGTTTTCGCTGGTGGGATTGATGACTTTCCAAAATTTAGCTGGGCTGTTTTTCAGTAGTGTGGGTAGATCAATAGAATAATACTTCTCCTTAGCGTTACTTAAATCAGTGCAATATGCTTTTATGCAGGTTTTATATTTGAGCCAACAAGAACTGCCTGAGCACTTTGCGTTGTTATATAGCCACTTTTTCTTATTCCGCATTTTCTGAAGATTTTTAGTGAACCACGGCCTTGATTTATCGTTGCTAATTTTAACCAGGGGTACATATTTGTTTACTAATGTACACGTCACGTGATAACGAATTCGCATCGATTCACGTCACGTGATTCCAAATTTGGTATATGTGGAAAGCGGCCGCGAGCGCGCTGAGCGTAGCATAAAAAGATGTTTTACATGACATGCATATCATGATTATCATGTTTGGACGTGTCGTTTACCTTCATTGTTCATTCACGTCACATAATTACCGAATTTGGTATATATGAAGCTAGCAAAACGGCCACAATTGCATCATAAGCAGGGTATTATGTCATGTTTATCATGTTTGCACCAGTCATATACTTTCAAGATCTATTGATGTCTCGTAACACCAAATTTGGTGTATATGAAGCTAGCAAAACAACAAAGAGCACTTTGAGTGTAGCATGTAGTCGTGTTTTACATGACACGCATGTCATGATTTCCTCGTTAGGGTTTGTTGCTTATGTTCGCCATGCAGTCATGTCATATACCAGTTTCGCAATATGTCATGTGAACGAAACCAGTGCAAGAGCAGCAAGATAGAAATGTAAATCAAGACATTCAGTACATACACGTAATGATTTTCATGTTATGACTAGTCACTTTTGCTCGTCATACAATCATGTTACGCAATACCAATTTCGGTATCGATACCATTATCGAAACGGCCAGGAGAGCTAAGAGTCGTAAGCGGCTAAGTAGATAGATACGGTCAAAGTCGCCGAAGTTCGCTAAGAAAACTTAACTAAAAGAGTGAAGTGGCAAAGCAATAAGGTAATGAGTGGAGCACAATTTTCTTAGTTTATCAAGCTGTAAAGGAAGGGCAGCATTGGAAACAGCTAGACATGATTGTGGTTCACTAAGCCCAGTGCTAATCAGGTGCACTGGGAACTCTTCAGAGGACAAAAATAAAAATAAATCTATTTGAGAAAAGATGCATCAGCCTTTGAGTGAATAACAATGCAGCTGCTGCTATCTGCAGGTATGTAAAGCACAACAAAATTAAAGCACATCCTTCACTTGTAGGGCAATGCATGTGACAACACAGCTTTCAGAAGTGAATCGTTATTTGACATTTATTTCATACATTAAGTATTCTCAAGAGAGGCATAGTGAGAAGTAGAAATGAACTGAGCATGCAGCACTAGGACTTGGTGAGCATTCTTCTGTAGCATGCTGAAAGCCCCATTAAGTTCTAAAACTGAAAACACTGGAGAGTATGTTTTTTTTCCTTAGCGCTGTTGTTGCAGCAAGCTGCAGATGGGATCGTGAGCAACAGCGGATGCAGACAAGTGGACCCCTTTCAAAAGATGCTTTAGTTGTTCTAAGATAGGAGTCTGCACATACAACACATACAACTAAGCCTGCTTATACAATGCTGAAAAAAAATAACTTCATTAAAGAAAATGGGAAATCGAGTGTTTAGGTACATCACGCTCATAACAAAAATTTTCCACCGTGCAGCGTTCAATTGGCTAAGAAGAAACTGACTTCAATGGTCTATCTATCTAGCCACCTACGTCTGGTCGCTCTCGTGATCACTGCCTTAGCTTTGGCTAAACCAAATTAGTATGGGAGGTAAGATGGTTTCACAAATACGATTGCTCGTCAGGTCATGAATAATGCCGCAATCCCGTCGCGTATGTCGTCAAACCCTTTCTTCCAGATGAGTGGCACACATCTGGCAGGTATGCGATTATGTGCCCCAGGTGAATGACAAATCGTCTACACAAGAATGACAAGAAGTAATATTGGTAATTTTAACACGACAACATCCAAGAAAAAGTCAGTGTTGACTCTATAAATGCAATGAAGAAATATCAAGGCCCCAGCAGGAATGAAAGCCAAACATTCTGCATGGCAATCAAGTATTCTACCACAGAGCCACACCAGGTCTCTGCACTGCTGTGGAAATGGACACCACTCAGGCACAATGTCAATTGCAGTTGCAATGCTAAATATAAAATTTTATAAAAATTACAGATGCACTCCTATAATGCAGCCGTCACAACCAGTTCACGTCAATTGTAGTTAAGTGCCATACACTTTGGTAGATTTATGTAGCAGTGTTCGGGGCTACCATCCTTGAGAGCACAAGCGCTACATATCAGCTTACCACATCTGATGTTGCTAGCACTCGTGTTGCTACTGGCATCATTATGCAAATGTAAACTGGTTATATAAAACACATGTGACTGTTGAACATATATCTGTGCATACAACATTCACCTGTTTTCCTAAATACCCCACAGTCACCTTCCTTCAATGATATATGTGAGTCTCAAACAGTAAATTATGCCGCTGTACAACATTTTTATACATTAAAAGAAGTCACTACGTTTCCAGTGCTTTTTTTTTTTTGCAGTTTTCCTACATGGATGAAGTTTTTTTTCCCCCTAGAAGTTTACTTCCTTTTCAATTGGAGAAAAAAAGAAAACAGGTGGCTATCTGATTTTTTTTTTAATCTTTAAAAGGGATTGATACTAGTTTGTTATTTGCTTACAAGGGTGCCATTTCACACCGGAAAATGAGGCACGCGTGGGCAGGAAAACCTGCGGGATTCTAACCGCACGTTGTACATACCCAGGCGACGAACACTTGAGTATGTACAACTATCGATCGTGCTTGAGTAGGCTTGAGTAGTGCCATACAGGCTCTTTTAATTTGATTCGCGTTTCTCAACCATGAAAGACTCGCTTCTGCATTTATGCACGGTCGTGTAAATTACATAGTGTAACACTTGCATGTCTCAACCGACAGAGAAAATCGGCCTTGTTAAACGATAAAACGGCAGTTATGTCACTCATTGATTAATTGATACGTTCGACGAGCAAGCGGCAAAACAGTCAAAAGCAAGTTGCCGATCAAGCACAGTAAAAAACATACTCTCACGCTCAGTAAAATTTGTACAACGAACGCTGCCACCTCACATAGCAATCACAAAAATAACTCTGAAGCACGCAATGACAGTGCAAGGGACCATAGTGCAAGTTCAAGCACTGCAAACACCATCCGCGCTCGTCAAGCACATGGGCAACGATAAGCACAATCGCCATGCTCGCGTCCACGACCAGGACACCGCATCAGCACACGTCCAGCACAACACAAATGTGTACAGCTCATCCCACACACGCACGAATGCACACACGCCGAGAGAACTTGAGGTTGCCTGACCCACTGTTAACTAATGCCACAGCACGCCACACGCAAGAAAAATATGCCCAGAGAACCAGGTTTAACCACAGAACACCTACTCAGCTGGTATATGTCCTGTGACCTTCCATGTAGAGAGGCTGGAACTTTGTACTTCCATGTGTGATCTACTCTGCAGAGAACCTCGGTTTGCCTGACCCACCGTTCTCCAAAAGCCATAGCTTTATACGGATCCAAGCCAAATTGGGTGCGCTATTTTCACCGGGTCGTAGCAGTCATAGAGTTTCGGAAACTCTATGGTAGCAGCACGGCCGCTGGATCGTGCGATCTTTCATCCAGCGGCCGTGGTAGCAGTCACTGCCAATTCCTATGGGCATAGAGTTTCATACAATATTATTTTAAGGAACTCTATGCCTATCGGGGTACAAGCTCCGCTGAAGTCATGGAGGAAACTTCCTTCATGGCTGAAGCAGCCCGCGTAGACACTAGCGCCAGATTTTTCTCTAGGTATTATTGTATTCATACATCTTTATTGAATGGAACCACGGAGGAAGGATTCCTTCCTCCGTGAATGGAACTTTGCAAATCCGAAAGGGAGCCAACTTGAAAAGGTGCTCATATATACGAAAAAGAAGATCAAGACATCACAAACGTTCTGTTCTCTTCTCATGTGTCTGTGTTTACAGTTTCTGTTCTAGCATGACACGTTTGTAGATTGTCTATTATTGTTGATAACTTAGCAGTTTTTCTTGTTTCCGACTTGACTCATACTATTATTGTATGTAACTCTATGACTGATAAATATCCTTTCGCCCATATGCTTTCACCGCCTCAAAAAGCCTGTCTTCTTTCTATCCTGTTTTTTTTTTCTACTTTGCTGCCTCAAAGCATAGCTTTCGAGATTGGCAATAATACTCGGTAACACTATAGTTAAGTTAGCAAATAAATTTTTATTGGCCAACAAAACTTAACGCTAAAATATTATGATTAAGTATTCAACTTTTATTTATAAATATTAGTCTTTGTGTGATGAGCAATGTTTTTTTCCCTTTCATATCGGTTTGGTTACTACCGTTCTGTGGCGAGAAGTCGCTGGAGACGGCCATGTTTGATGAGTGATGTGCTTGGGTTGTTCGGTTTGCAACTGTAGTGGCATTACATCTCCATAATTTTGTTAAATCCTTCGAACTACATTGTTTTCCTATGTTTGAAGTGTCGCTAGTGTGATGGATTAGTGGCTGCACTGCGCAGGGATTCCTGGAAGAAGCTCCAGGAGCTGTGTCGCAAAGTGAGTCGCCCCGTGTTCCTCTGCTCTGGTGGACTAGCCCCTGGCACATTATCGGTAAAAAAATTTCGAACCCTGTTTTTTGTGTGCATTACGCGAAAACTCGGAGTTGATGTGTTGTGAGCCTCCGTAGCCGGCTAGAGCTTTCAGGCGGCTCACTTCATTGCACTGGTCTAAACGTTTTGGAATTCGGTCGAGATGCCTAGACGACGTTTTATAAAAGCGTCGCGTAGTATCGCGTTTGCTGCAGAGACGCACGGCGCTTGTCGGGCGCCTTGAGTGCGTTGTCTTTCGGCCACACTCGTCTTAAAACTTCGAGTACTCGGGGAGCGATGGGACTTCGCGACGTTTTCGTTTGCCCCCATCTTGCGCGTTCACCGCGTTTCTACTCGTAGACACCCCGGCAATCGGTGACGTGAGAAGGATAACGCACTCGAGGTCATTAGCTCTCCGGTGTCGGCTACTACGATCGGCGTCACCTGCGCTGATCACGGAGATTGGAGGAAACGGGGATAGTCCCTAAAACGCGACAGCAGAGATCCCAAGCTGCGACGTTGGCCGAACGAAGCGTGAAGTCGTGACGCTGGATGAGCACGATCCGACCCGCCTTTTAATCCGGGCCCGCAGTGCATGCATGGGAACACTTCCGTGCGTAGAATATTGCCATGGTGGCTCAGACAGCGAGCCAGGCTAGCCGCTTCCGCACCGTTACATTTTAGTTCGTCAACGTAGGGCTGCTTATGTACAGACATGCCGCGTCGTTGTTTGTATATTTACTAGTTCCGCCTTTCAGTGGTACTGATGATCCAATGAATTTGGAACGGATACCCGCACGTGAGCACATGCTATGGTTTGCACATGAAAGCAGTATTGTTGCCAGAATAGTAAAACTTCTTTCGCGAAGACACAAACATACTCAATGCATGTAATGCAAGCAATATGGACAGATGGGGTTTCGTATGGATTGCTAGCTTTCCAAAGGATAATAGATTTACAACGTGTAGGCGAAGGTTTGACGTGGTTCAAGGCACACTATATTGTGTTCAGAGAGCATTTTGGTTGGCACATGAGATGTATACACCACCGTGCTTATGTACGCACATAGTGCACCGCTCTCAGGCTTATTGTAAGATCAGTGATTCGCAAGAAATGATTAGCTTGCGATCAGATAGTTTCAGCTGAAGAGGTCAATGTAGAACACAATAGCACCGAAACATTGAGGCTTTTTTCTGGCATGCACAAAAATATCCAACTCATTTATAACAATCTACATTTGGACTAATGTTTCTTTCAGTTTGTGCCGTGCTCTTTTGCTTTCATGCGAAATATGTCTAAGCTCGCATTGTACAATTTCTCTGCCTGCAGACTGCGTTTATAAACACTACATTTGGGTGATCAAATGAGACCTGGTGTTTTCATTTGCTCATTCTCACAATGTATCAGCATCGGCTTTGTGTGTTCTTGCTGAGCTTAAGTGAATTCAGCTTGATTGGCACTTTATCATCTATGCTGCAATATTTTGCTTGATTTTTGTGCTGTTGTGCTATAGTGTTGTGACCCATGAACAGGAAGACGGCTGAGCTTCGGTTGAGCGCAGCTGAGTGTAACTACATTCGGTATGACCTCACACTGAAGTAGAGTTTCAGCTCGGGGGGGGGGGGGGGGGGGAAGGGGGTACTATATTGTGCTATAGAGCTGCAAAAGATGTAGAGGTGGATGCAGGAGAATAACACAAAGAATTACTGACAGCTGGGTTATCGAAAAAGCACCTAGGCTTCTTTAGGTGATGTGCGCTGCATGATCCAGAAGGTTTTCACGAGGCACAAATGAAATCCAGAAAGAATGAAAGCTATACTTGAGAAATGTGCCATAACGACTCATGAGAATAAAGAATTGTAGGAAAGTAACGTGCAGACCGCAAAGAATGGACAGTAATTCTTTCTGGTAAAAGATAGATGTCTGTGAGCTAACACAATCACTGCTGGAGGGGGTTGGTGTTTGAGGTGAGAGAATGTAGGAACTGTGACTGTATCAACAACCTCGCTTTTCAGCTTGCGATGTGTTGGTTGGCTAATCAGTTACTCGCAATGGAATGTGTCAGTGCACATTAAAACACGAAGCTTAAGAATAACCGACAAAACATTTTTATGCATTCTGCCTATTGGATCTGAAGATGAGGTGCGCTCTCGTAACACACGAAGACAGTCACGCAGTCGTGCAAACCAAATGTGTACATTTATTCACTTGCTTTGACAACGACGATCTCGCCAGCCGAATCTAATGCATCACTAGTGACATGCTAATTAACCTTATACAATATGCCATCACAATGCACAAGCACTGAACATAACCAAACGAGGTACATCATGCTTTTAAATGTACCGCAAATGTGGTTTTGTCAACATTAGACTCACCACAAGGGATTCATGGGAAACGATTAGTGGTGTCGTCCCACATGAACCCACCGCAGGAGCTGTCCCTCGATGCACTTGTCCAACCTCAAAAGAGACTCCTTACTGTTTCCTGTCTGCCCACCTAACCTCGCCAACCCTTATTCGTGTAAACACAGCACACCACTTCTTAATTGGCAGCTATTAAACCTAACTGCAAAACCTAACTTATAGCTCTAATGTAATTAATTTGATATAGCTTTTAGTGGGAAGTGCTTCCTTATTATAGTCTTTAAACTGTTTCAGAGCTCATTCCATTGATAAGCGTTTAATAACCTACAATCTGTTGAAGGAGTACTGGCACAAAAAATTTCGAAGGCGAGATAGCGAGTGAGATAAAATTATGTGGAGATAAGCATCTTCTAAGTATATCAAGAGCAAATATAGCCTGGAAGATCAAAATCATTTATGGAGTTCATGCTGTGTGACTGCGCGAGATGTGGAACAACTTGCGATGTCAAAACCAAGATGGTTTTCACATAAACAACCTCTACATCACAAATTTGTACTGGCGAGTTGCTGGCACGTGCCTCGCTGCAGCTGCCTTGGAAGCCTTGAGTGTGTTGTCAGAATTCTCTTCTGCTATTCGCTAGTTGGGCTCATTGGCAGATGTTACGCACCACCACTGTCGGTATTCCGGCACTGACTCCACAATGGTGATGACATTGCTTAACATGTGGAGGCATAGCAGTCTGTCAATGCAGCACTCATGCCACAGATTTCTGTGGTCACGTGGCTGGTGGCGTTTACCTTAAAACCCGGAACTGCTCTTGCCTGCCTCGGTGCTATTTGACGCCAAAAATGCGATTGGCTGAACTAAAAAAATGCCTCTAATTAATCAACCACCATGCACTCAAGCAAATTAAGTTTGGAGCCGTGTTTAGAGGTGATAAGCTACCAATTGCAATAAAAAAAAAAAGCAAAATTTTTATGTCACTGGTCTTTTACCCGTAAAGAATGTTGGTTTTTCAAATTAAACATTTCCGTACTTTAGGCTCTAAACTGGTGGCCGCCGATTGGGCACTAACTGATGACGATGCGTGCTTTTAGCTCTTGTCGGTATATATTGCTATATTGCGCTATAGAGCTGCAAAAGATGAGAGATGATGCAGGAGAATAAAAAAAATTTCGAACCCTGTTTTTTGTGTGCATTACGCGAAAACTCGGAGTTGATGTGTTGTGAGCCTCCGTAGCCGGCTAGAGCTTTCAGGTGGCTCACTTCATTGCGCTGGTCTAAACGTTTTGGAATTCGGTCGAGATGCCTAGACGACGTTTTATAAGAGCGTCGCGTAGTATCGCTTGGCTCAAAAGGTCGATGACCTCGCTTGGCTCTGCTCTTTACATGTTCTGGCATCCAACAGTGCAGCAAGAGCATTGTGGTGGAATTGTGTCTTGAATTCCATCAATAAGAAGCAGGTGAAGACTCCCTCAACACAACTGTAAAAGATCAAAAGAAAACCACGCATGGTGGATATTACAAATTTTCAGCCAGCCCTTGTGAGTCTCTTGTATAGAGATGTGCATCCTTTGATTTCACTTGACTTGCATTTCTCGAAATGCTGTGTGATTTAACATTGCTACGAAAAAAGTATCAAATACACGCACCTAACTTTAATCGGTGCACTTAAATTCTTGATGGCTTTCTGTGCCACATGTGCAGTTCAGTCAGAAACAGGCGCATCACTGCTTGACATGAGTTTTCTGTTGTATTGTTTGCAGCGAAAGTAGTATCGACTCCTTTTACCTTTTAGTAAGAACAGACGACAGCGGTGGTGCCTAATAAAATATACATACTAATTTTAAGGATTACTTACAATGGGTCTAAAACTACAAGGGACCACAGACAGCAATCTGAATGGATCTTTTGTGCAGTTTCCTGGTTTATATTCTAGGCGGCATGACATGCCAGTTCTTTGTGAATTTCAAACGCAATTTAAATATACAAATTCTATCCAAATAGCGAGGAGTATGCTTGGTTTTGTCACTGCTTTGTGGTCCTTTCATATTCGCTAGTATTTAATGATACGTCCTGGCTGCTTGCCTGTCCATTTGAAAGAGCGTGCATATGACTGATTCCTTCCAAGCATCAGCCTTGGAATAGTGGCCTGTACTGTTGCACCAGAAGTACGGTACGGTACTTCTGAAGGTTCTACTTTCAAGAAGAAGCTTTTGTGGTCACATGTGTACTGAACCTGCTTTACCGTCTCATGCGTTCCCATCTTGTTTCTACATTTGTTTTCGTTATGTAATATACACTAAAGTAGAATTTTTATTTGTGCCTTGGAAAACATAAACAGGGTCAGTTTGAACATTAAGCTTGTCTTATTCGGCCAGCATTTCACAAGTTCATGTCAAGACAAGCCATTTTATGGGTAACTCTGGCCAGAAGCGTCACATCCGATGTTTAAAGGTTTAAGATGATGTCTATTGAAAGCCTTAAACCAATCGTTTTGTAACTTGAAGAAACATAACTTGAGAATTTTGGTATACATTTCAACGTTTGTAACGCACTGAAGGACAAGGGCACTGAGTGGAAATGTAGATTATGCACTG